CCTGGCAGCTCTGGCACAGCCTCTCCCGGGCAGTTTTGCTCCCAGAGCTTTTCCCAGCTGGAGGCTGGAGCTCCTCAGCCCAACCCCGGCGCTGCCAGCAGCTCTGCCAGGAACAAAGGAGTGTGGGATTTCTGGGAGCTGAGCTTGGCACCGCTCCCCTCCCGGCCAGGGATTCCCAGATTTGGGGGGGACAGAGCAGCTGGCTCCATCCTGCCACGTTTGGGTAATTACCACTGACTCAGAGGCAGGAATCTGGGATTGGGAGCTCTCAGCGAGCTGGGAATGAATTGGACTATTCATCATCTGATAAAATTGCCATGAAAAGGAGCAGGGGGGGCGGGGGTGACCCCTCCTTGCAGGGGATGAATTACAGGGCCTGCTGGCCACAGCCAGGCCCCATTAACACACCCCATTAATGCTGCTTTGAATCCCAATTAAAACTCATTAAAGAGCCCTGGGCAGGACAAGTTGCCTTTGATGAGGAATATTCCTTGAAACAGGGAGCTGCCATTTTCAGACTCAAAGCAGCCCCTTATCCTCGTCCCAGCCCCCAGCAATCCCACCAAAAGCTGGAGATCACCCTGCTGGGGACAAGGGGGCTTGTTCTGTGCTCCATGAACAACCCACCACTGACCGGTTTGTTCCATCCCCATCCAGCTGGGAAGCGACAGCACCTCCCTGGCTCTGCCCAGCTGTGGCACCAGGACCTGCAGCCAGCACAGGGGCTGCAAAGCAGCAACTCCAGAGGAGCCCCCAGCCCTGCACCTTCCCCCAGCCCACCCTGGGGGCACAGTCACTCAATTTTACACAACCACCTGATGTTGCACAATCACTTCCATTTTGCACAATCTCTCCTGTTTTACACAATCACTTCTGGTTTACACAATCACTTCCATTTTGAACAATCACTTGATTTTGCACAACAAATTCATTCCCAATCATTTCTGGTTTACACCATTATTTCTTTATGGTCAATCTCTTCCCGGGCAGCCCAAACGAGTGGGGCTTTTCCAACTGCCACGTCACTGAATCCCAACTAAAAAATACGCGGATTTCAAGGCCTGACGAGGCAGAAAACTTCTCCCTCTCCCACTGGGAAGAGCACCTGCCCCTTGTCACACAGAGCCACTATCCCAGGTTGCTCCAAGCCCCATCCAACCTGGCCTTGGGCACTTCCAGGGATCCAGGGGCAGCCACAGCTTCTCTGGGCAACCTGTGCCAGGGCCTGCCCACCCTCCCAGCCAGCAATTCCTTCCCAATCTCCCATCTCTCCCTGCCCTCTGGCAGTGGGAAGCCATTCCCTGTGTCCTGTCCCTCCATCCCTTGTCCCCAGTCCCTCTCCAGCTCTCCTGGAACCCCTTTAGGCCCTGGAGGTGTTCGGAGTTGGTTCCCAAACATCAGAGCACACACAGTGCTCCGTGAAATTCACTCTGGAGAAGACCTGACCTGTTATTTCCCAGCAACTCCAGCCAGTCCACGCTGCCCAATCTGATTTCTGCCAAGCCCTTTCCCCTGATGACACGGCCCAGTGCCTGCAATCAATACCTGGCTGATTGAACCACCATCAGCTTTTCCATGGCTCAGCATCTGCCTCGGCCTCTCTGAATCTGCCCTTGCCAAGGTGCCAGAGGACATCGTGACTTCCCACCAGGAACGTCCCGGTGCTTCCAAAAGCCCACCCACTGCCAGGGGCTGCTTCCAAAGCCCCCCTAAGGGGGGCTTTGGAAGCAGCCCCTGGCAGTGGGTGGGCTGGGTTGCAGTTTCCAAGGCTCTAGCAGGACCAGGGGGATGGAGCTGTCCCTGATTCCAACAGCACCTTCCCAGCTGGAGGAAGCCCTGCCAGGCAGAGCTGGAGTGGCCACGCCGTGGCACCCCATGCCAGGCCAGGCCAGGCAGAATTTGGGCGGCTCCCAGAGCGTGGGCTCTGCCTGCATTTCAGCTGCTCCATCTCCAGCCTATTTATAACCTCCCGAAACTCTCCCGAGTTCCAAACTCCCCTCCCAAAAAAACTGGGATCTGGGGATGTGCTGCGGCTGCTTGGGCTCCTTCCCGTGGGAGGGGAAGGGGGTGGCTTGGGACAGGGATGGAACCAGCTCGTTTCACATGCTGACAGCAGATGTTCCAGCCCCCTCCTTGCCTTTCCACATCCCAGGAAGAGCTTGTTGTGTCCCTGATGCCTCGGGAAGGCTCTGCCTGGCTTTAGGCCCCTGCACCCCGTTTGCAAATGGGTTTTCCTCTCAGCATGACTTAGGAAGATTTACAAAGCTTGGAAAAGCCTGGCCAGGGTTGCTGTTTCCAGCACTGCCTGGGAAGCAGCCCCAGTGTGGGAGCTGCTGCAGGAACACCCCCAGCAGTCCCTGACAGCACTGGGAGCTCTGGCCTTTACTGGTTTTAGGCAGACTGGGCAGGATGGAGACTCCCCAAGTTCCCTGGGGCTCCTCCCTGGGAACACCCAGGCAATTCCCAGTCCCCAGATCCCACCACTTCGCCCAGCTTTGGATCACCAGACCCTTCCCTGAATCCCCACCTCGCACTGACTCCTGACAGCCCCAACCCCCCAGGAAAAGCATCTCCTCTCCCTCGTGTGCTTGTGCCACTTTGGTTTTCGCTCTCCAGACCAGCCTGGGCCACAGGGAAGTGACTGAAGGGCATGTTCCCCACCTCTGGGCTGGGGTTTGGGCCCCAGTTTGGCTGGAAAGATCCTGGCACTGACGCTGTGCCAGGTCAGGAACCTACTCTGGGGCTTTCCCTTTCAGTCCACATTGCAGGAGACAAAATCCATAGGGTGTGTTAGAGCTTCACATTGATTTGATGAAAGCAGATGATGTGCAGACAAAAACTTCCTATTTTTGCACCTCCATTCCTCGAAAATTACCAGCAGGGTCCTTCCCCCTCCCCCTGCAGGTGCTTCCCCGACAGCCCTGCAGGCTTTTCCCAAGGTAGCTCCGAATAAATCTGTTCACACCCAGAACAAACCTGTTAATGAGCTCTACAAATTCACCAGCCTGGCTTCCAACTGCGGCCCTGCACAGGGGGGCTTTGTGGCTCTTGCCTCCCAGTTGCAGTTGGTTTTAAACCCAGTTTGAGCTCTGCCCATCAGCCCCTCCTCTCTCAGCACCCAGAATTGCTGGAAACACACTTTTCCTGGAGCAGGGAAGTTGGTGGGTCTGGCAGGGGCAGGAAAATACCCAACCACAAAGGCCAGCTCTGGTGAGAGCCCAGAAGGAGCTGAGGGGGCAAAACACAAGTTATTTGCCAAAGAAAAAGATGGGAGAGAGGGATTTCTCCCCATTTGGACATTCCCAACATTCCGTGCTATGTGTCCCCTCCTGTCAGGAGAGCAGCAATTTTGGGGGGCAAGGCAGCAGGCAGAGCACAGCTCCCAGTGCCCTGCTGGAGCATGGAACACCTCAGGGCTTGGAGAAGGAGCAGGGCAGCTTCAGCCCCGTTTGCTCCCACTCTGTGAGCACTAAACCAGCCAATGCAGGGCTCTGCCCAACACCCCCCCAGTCCCAGTCCCCATGAGCCCTGTCACCTCCCAGGGCAGCCCTGGGGCTCCCAGCACCATCAGGGACCACCGGTCCCACTCCCAGGATGGGGATCAGAGCCCACCCAGGCCCTTCCAGCCATGGCCAGGGCCAGCAGCCCTTGGCTGGGGGGGCTGCCCGAGGCTGGGGGGCTGCAGAGTCCCCCCCCAAGAGTCTGAACCACCAGATGGTGGGTGGGAGGGACACAGGGCAAGGCCGTGGGTGTGGGACAGGCAGGGCCAGCTCTGCTCCCACGGTACCAGGGCTCCCACAGGATGCAGGTGGCCCCTTTCCTCTGGACTCTGCCATGTCCCTCCAAATCCAGCAGGATTTTGGGTGCTCTGGGCCATCCCTGGCACAATCCGGACCTGCTGCTGGATGGGGGAGTGGGAGGGGATGAACTCAGGGATGGAGGAGTGGGAGGGGATGAACTCGGCTCCTCGAGGGCTCGTGGGGATGGGGACAAACGGGCACCAGCCCTCGGCAAGCACAGCCTTCCCTGCGCCGCAGGAATCCGGGAGAGCCACGAGGCTGAGCCCGCAGCCAGAGTGCGGCTTTGGGGGGCTCCACGTCCCCCCAGCCCCTCTGCTCTGCTCAGGGTGAGCCCGCTCAGCCGCCACCGACCCTCCTCCACCTCGAACCCCCCCGTCTCGCTTCTTAATCCCCCCCAGCCCCATTCCCGAGGTTCGCCCCCCCTCTCCCAGCCAAGCCGGCAGCCACCTGTAGAGGTCTGGGCAGCATCTGCCGAGCGGAAAGTGGCTTAGAGCGGGGTCCCCCCGGGGGATGCTCGGCCCGGGGAGGGCGGTGCTCGACCTCCGAGGGGATGCTCGACCCTCGGGGGATGCCCGGGCCGGGTGGGGGATGCTCGGTTTGAGGGGATGTCCGGCTCAAGGGGGATGCTCAGCCCGGGAGGTTGCTCAGTCTGGGGGGGATGCTCGGGCTGGGGGGGATGCTCAGCCCCCGGGGGGATGCTCGGACCGGGGCAGGGTGGGTGCTCAGCCCCCGGGGGGGTGCTCGGCCCGGCCGGCCGCCCTCTCCAAGGGTTAAAACTGCAGCAGAGCTGCGGGGCTGGAGCGGCCGCTGGAGCGGGAGGGGCGAGGGGACAATAAAATCCATTAAACCAGAGAAATAAAAAGCAGGACGCTCGGGCCGGGGAGGGGAGGAAGGGGAAGGGGTCGGGCGGGCCCCGCTCTCTCCGCAGCCCCCCGGTCGGCACCTTGCGGGGCGCGGGGGGCGGAGGGGGGGCAGGTCCGTGTCCTTACCTTGGTGACAGTCATGCGGGTGGCGCGGAGGGGCGAGCGCTCCGCGGGCGCGGGGAGGGGGGGGCGCGGGATGCGCGGAGCGGGGAAAAATAACAACCAGGGGAGGAGAGGGCTGAGGAGGAGGATGAGGAGGAGGGTGAGCAGGAGGAGGAGGAGGCCGGGCCGGGGTGTTCCCCGCACCGAGCGCGGAGCGCAGCGCAGTCCGCGCCCGGCCGGTGTCGGCGCGGCGGGGCGGTGATGTCACCGGAGCCGCCTCCCGCGGGGGGGGGGGGGGGGGGGGGGGGCCCCGGGGGGGGGGGGGGGGGGGGGGGAAAACGGCCGCTTTAACCCTTTGCCGGCCCCAAATCCCCCGGCCCGGGGCACCTGCGCCCAGCGCGCCGGGGATGCGCGGAGGGTAGGACGGTCCGAGCTCAGCGCGTCCCGCAGCGCGGCGGCCACCGGGGACACCCCGCGGAACGCACCGGGAGGGTGGAGCGCTCCCGGCTCCCCGGCGATGAAGTAAATGCGGGTTTCTGGGCGCTGGGCTGCGGCGCAGCTCTGCAGGGGCGCCGGCACATGGCACAAGGCGCGGCAGCGGTTTTTGGGGAGCAGGGGATGCGCTGCAGGGCCCGCGCCTCGCTGGCCGCTCCCCCCCCGGCCGAGCATCCCAGAGGGGCAGGAAATCATGGAATGGCTCGGGCGGGAAGGGACATTAAAGCTCATCTCATTCCCACCCCCTGCCACGGGCAGGGACACCTTCCACTAGCCCAGGTTGCTCCAACCTGGCCTTGGGCACTTCCAGGGATGGGGAATATGTTCCATATATATTTATATATTCCACATATGTTTATCTCTGCCGTGTACATTTACCTATTCCATGTACATTTACCTATTCCATGTATATTTGTATATTCCACGTGTATTTCAAGGTCCTGTAGCATCCAGAACCATCCACCCATGTCCTTGTTTCCCTTCACATATAAAATCATTTCTTTTCCCCCTCTGTTATAGATGGTGACAAGTGACAACACCAGAGCCCCGTGCTGTGTCCCAGAGCTGTCAGCTCCATTTTCCAGGCCAGTGCAGGGTGGCCCAGCCTGGAGGTGGCACTCAGGGTTACTCAGGGCTCTGATGTCCCCCCGTGAGCTCAGGTACCTCCACAGTCCAGGCCTGAACAGCTGCCACAAAGTCACTGCTGAGAGGAAAAAATGGGTATATTTTTATCCCACTTCCAGCACTGAGAAAATCACCCTCCTGATGGCCCTGACTCAAAATAAATCCAGGAACCTAATTTAATAAATTGAGGAGTGCAGGGTACCAGGAGGCACCGAGGCATCCCTGGCCTGTATCACTTTGCACATCCTCGCACCAGCCACAGACCAGGAATTTTCCCACCTATTTAAAGATCCTCATCATTAGAGATGAGAGAATAAATACTTAGAAAAAAAACCAAATAGCACTTCAGCTCCTTGTCTCCTGGTTACCTGGCAATGAAAGCAGCAGGATACAGCCCAGGCCCAGAATCATCCAGCCATTAGACTGGATGTTGCACCAACTTATTTTATTGTTGCTGAATTAAAAAGCCTCGAGGTCAACACCAAATGCATTTCCAATTCCCCTTAAAGTAAAGCCCTGCCAATAAACAAAGGATTTCCTTTTTTTATAAGGAGATTATTCAGCCAAGACTCTGATGATGGAAGATTAGTTTTATTCCAGTGCTGAGCCTCCCAGTAAAACCACAGTGGGGCTGACGAGGAGGGAACGCCGGGAGCTGTAAAACCCTCTGCTCGCTGATATTCTCCTAAAAATCCACTATTTTTTAAAGCTAAACCATGTGAGCTGGGCTGGAGACTGTGAGGAAGGTTAATGCAATTAACGGAGGGCTAATGACATCAGCCAGCAGGAGAAGCCACCTCTAAATCCCGAACCACCCAGCAGTGACCTTTTCCCAACAAAACCCCTTTTCCAGGGAGCTGGTGGAGGGAACAGGAGGATCAGTGTGGACAGAGGTGATGCTTAAAATGGAACAGAGCTGGGGAGGTGACTGAGACAGGGGACACTGAGGCCCAGAGGAGCCAGAGGAGGAGAATCCAGGTTGCTCCAAAGCCTTGGAGGAGCCGCCGTGTCCCGGCTGCCGTGGCTCGTGGGGTGAAGAGTCAGTGCCTGGATCCCACTGAGCCTCCTGCACTGTCTGGAGCTGCTGGAATTAATTAGCACCAATTAACTGATGGAAACAACTCGCCTGGAGCTGTGAACTGGGACAGCTGGAGGAGGTAGGAGGGGAAGGGAAAGGCTGGGGGGGCTCCCAGGCTCTGCTCCTGCTGATGGAGGGATCTGGATTTTGCATGGTGTGGTAAATCCCAGTGCCCCCCAAATCCCAAATGCTGCTGGGGGGAGATCAGAAATGTTGGGAAAGGGGCTGGGATCCCCTCTGGGGAGCAGGGAAAGCAGTGGGAGCTGGTGTAGCCCCTCAGCCAGGCAGCAGTGGGATGCTGGGGAATGTGGTGGGATTTTGGAATGATGGGGAAGCTGCACAGTGGCCCTGCCAAGTGTGGGGCAATTCCCTGCCCTGAAGGAATTCCTGTGCCATGGCCAGGATAGCAGCTCACCCTGTTCCACCAGTGCAGCACAGCAACTCCAAATCCCCCAGTTTGGGGTAGATTAAAGGAGGAATTTATTATGGTTTGGATCCAAATTAAGGCAGTGACAGATCCCGGGGGTTTGTGACTGGGATTTGGCTCTGAAGGTTTTTTGGGACCCCACTCAAGCCCCAGACTGGATTTGCCCTCCAAGGGGGCTCAGATGGGGCTTTTCTGGGGTTGTGTTCCCAGGATCCTCCTGCAGCTCCCAGGAAAGGGAGGTGCTCAGCACCTGCAAAGGGTTAAAGGAGTTAAAATCTGCTGGCACGGTGCAGGATCCATGTCCTGCGTCCTGGCCTCTTCCAGCTGGAGCTGCCTCTCCATCAGCACCAGACATCCCTGCAAATCCACCAGCACCCCAGATCCTGCATCCCCATCAGCATCAGAAATCCCTGCGTCTCCATCAGCTCCATCAGCAGCCTTCCTGCATCCATGGAGAGGGTGGAGAGGTCCCCCGGCTCTCTGGAATGTGTCTCCCGTGGCGCAGGAGGATGCCTGTGGAATGGCTGTCGGGATATTCCAGCGGGGCTGGATCCGCGCAGCCCCGTTACCCGCACAGGGATGCAGAGCAGAGCCCTGGCTGGAGGGAGCCGGGATTCCCGCTGGAAAACGTGTCCCGGGAGATGGTGAGAGCGGCTCAGGGTGGCAGCGGAGCATCCACGGTGGGCGTGGGGCCCGGCGGGCTCCAGGAGCGCGCTGGGGGTGGCTTGGGCTCCCTCTCCTGGCTCTGCCGGGGTACAATTGCGCGGAAATCCTTGCGAGTGGGAAGCTCGCAGGCCTGCGAGCTCCCCCGGCTGCAGGGGATGGCGCGGGGACTCGATGGAGGACAGCGGGGACCCGGGGGACACGCGTGGCAGCGTGGATCCCTTGGGATGAGCACACGGGCAGGGGGGTGCTCAGGAATCTGAACCGGGTTTAAGAACCAAAACCCTTCCAAACCCAGGCTGGGGGTCCCCTGTGCCTCCCCTCGCCACCTCCCACCTCGCAGCATCCGGAGCCCACGCGTGGACAAGGGCTGTGTTTCCCACTGCCCTCATCCCACCCCTCTGTTGTCCGTGTCCCATTTCCCGACGCTGCTGAGCAGGAGGAAGGAGCTGCTGCCCGGGTGGACACGAGAATCAAAGCAAGTCATGGGAACAGTGGCTGGCAGGGGCTGTGGGAAGAGCAGAGCCCGTGGGGTCCGTGTCCAGGGGACTGGGGGCACACGGAGAGCTGCAGCCCCACGGCTCCAGCACAAGGAATGCTCCTGGGAGAGGTATTGCCCAACCCATCCCAAATCCAAGCTGGAGACACTTCACATGGCCCAACCCATCCCCAGTCCGAGCTGCAGAGGCTTCATCAGCCCCTTACTCACCACTTGGCTTCCCGAGCTCCCAGGCTGAGCTGGTTACACCAGTTTAACCCTTCACTTGCTGAAACTCTTGGAAAGAGCCTGGCTGGGCTCATGGAGAGCAACAATGAGGCCCTGCTGTGACCTGTGATTGCCGTGTCACCACAGGGGTTTGGGGTGGTCCATCCATGCTGCTGGCCAAGGCATTGCTCCAAAGGCCACGATGGTTGGCTCTGGGGGTGCAGCTCAGGCCCCAGATCTGCTGCTCCAGGGGTTTGTTGGGATGGTGGGAGGTGGGAATGCTCCGTGAGTGGGGCTGGCTGGGCTGTGGTTGCCCCACAGGGCTGGAGGGACAGGCCATGGCCACTCTGCCACCAGCTGAGGTGGTCCCAGTGCTGCCAGAGGTGATGGCCCCACTGTGGTGATCCCAGTGCTGCCGCTGGATGTGGTTATCCCCATGTTTTTCCTTCAGATGGGTGATCCCAGTGCTGCCATTGGACGTGGTGGTGCCAGTGTGGACAGGGTGGTCCCAGTGCTGCCATCAAGGATGGTGGCCCTGAGGCTGCAGCCAGAGGCAGGTGGAACAGCTCTTCCAGTCCTCCAGGCCCTGCTCCTCCTCAGTGCCACCCTTCCCCCTGAAATGAAGGATGTGGGGTCTCCTCCCTCGGCAGAACTTCATTCCTAAGGACAGACCCCCCTGAGCTGCTCCCTGGGCCCATCCAGGCTGGTGCCACCCTCAGCCCCTCCTGGCCCTGCCCTGCTGCAGTGGGGTGGCCAGAGCTGAGCACAGAAATCACAGAGCCACGAACACAGCGTGGATCCTCCTCCCGGCCTGGGCACTCCTGGGTTATCCCAGAGCTGCTGCAGCTGCGAATTATACGGAGGCTCATGTTTGGATTTCACAGCAGATCATTTATAGAGAAGCCCAGGGACAGATTTTCATCCCCTTTGATGAAGGTTCATCTGGAATAACAATACGTGGTAGGACCTGGCTCTGGACCTCACTGACAACCCAAACCCTCCGACTTGAAAGCGAGATGTTTCCACTTAAAGACAGTGTCAGCAAGAACCATCTCCCTCTCACTGCCTCTCCTGCTCGTCCCTCTGCCATCATCTGGTTCCCATTAGCCCTGGACAAGGTCCCGTTCTGCTCAGGGAAATAGGAGGGGACTTGGAGCCACTTCTGCTCCCTCCAAGTATGAATTGAATGTGGTGCACAACTGAAAATGCAACGAGAGCCGACATGTGAAGGGAATCGGAGCCATGGCAGCTCCTGCCGGTGGAAAATCACTTCCAAGGG